GCCCCCGCCCGCGCGCCTACCTCGCCCCCAGCCCGCCCCAGAAGCACGCCCCCGCGGAGACCTTCTGCCCCGTCATCGACGGCCGCTCCAAGCAGCTGGCCGCCAGGATTCGCCCCAAGGTGGGGCCGCACACCCCTGCACCGGGCCCTGTGCTGTTGCTGGGGCTCTGGTCCAGGCTGGGCCCTGGGGTGCTTGATAGAACCTCTCAGCCGCTGTACGTGTCAGCTGTGCCGCTTGGACGCTATCGGCCCCGCTGGCTGCTTTGTGAACTAATCCCGATTCCTGTCAATGAAGGGTAAACACCAGTCCACCCGGCTCGCGTCGCTGGCTTAGCTTGGCGCGTCTGGGATGCGGCTCCCCCACCCCTGCAGGGGCGCTACTATTGAAACAACCCCCACCCTTCCAACTCACACAACTTTTAGATCCGTCACAACCTACTCCTTCCCCCGTCCGCACGTCAGCACAACTCAGTGCTCTAACAAGGTTGCCCGCCCCCTACCCCCCCCACCCCCCACCCCCCAGGACACCCCCGTCCACGAGCTGCTGCACCGCGAGGCCACCAACATCAGCGCCAAGAAAACCGCCCTGCGCGCCGCCGCGCAGGACGCAGCGCTCAGGGAGTGCACCTTTGCGCCGCGGCTGGTGTCGGAGCAGCTGGTGCCTGAGGGGCGCGTCATGAAGGTGTGTGTTTTTTTCGGGAGGGTGGGGGAGGCATTGAGTCCTGGAAGGGAGGGGCATGGTAGTTGTGGGGTTGGGGTTTGGGCAGCAACATGCCCTGCAGGTTTGGGGCGGCGGCGGCGTCATCCTGTCTAGGAGGTTGAAATGTGGTCGAGTGGAAGACGCCGGAGGGATGGAATGGGGACTTTGGGGGGATGCCACGTGGTGGACGGGTGGCATGCAGGCTGTGGGGCGAGCGCTGCGCCACTGCACCCCCAGTGGGCAGCTGAGGCCTGGACGGCTGGATCTGGGGGCTGTCTTGGGGCACGGGGCCACACTGCCTAACTGGGGTGGGGCCATCTGGGTTGGGCCATGCTTTGTCGGCGGCCGCCTCACATTGCGCCATAGTCACGGGCTTGCCCCGACGGATTCGCAGCAACCGGCCGCAGTCTTGTGCAGTGCAGGCGCCTGCAGGCGCCACAAGACGCCTGGGGCGCCCCCGTACGCAGCTCGGCTCAGCCCGGCCGCTCTGCCTGACGCTGCACAACCTGCTAATACACCGCACTTGCAATTTTGCATCACAGGAGGTCCGCGAGGGCCTCTACTCGCACCCGACCGGCGCCGCCGGGCAGCACCTCTCTGACGATGACGACGCCGCCATCGCCGCCCTGGTGGCCGCCACGATCGAGGCCGAGGCCGCCGCCGCCGCCGACGACTCCGCCCTCGCCAGCCCCAGCCGCGCGGCGGGGGCGGCGGGGACAAACGCGCCGTGGCGCGGCGGGTTTGGGGGCGGCGCCGGTGCAGCCGGCGCGGGTGCGGCCGCGGGCGGCGATGAGGACGAGGGGCCCGAGTTCCTGGGGGCCCTGCAGGAGCTCGCGGCCCAGCTGGACGCCACCCCTGCTGCCGGCCAGTCGTGGGGCGACGGCGCCGCCGCCACCGCCCCCTCGGCCGCCGCGGCCGCCGCGGGCCCCACGCCGCACGCGTCGGCCGCGGGCGGCAACACAGGCGCGGGCGAGGGCGCGGGGGGCGCGGACGAGGGGGAGCGTCTTCTGGCTATTGAGCGGGAGGTGCAGGAGCTTCTTGAGGCGACGAGCGCGGCCGCCCTGGCGGCGGGGCGGCTGACGAGCAAGAGCGACCACCAGTACCTCAGCAAGATCCTCGGTGCGTGTGGACTGAGATCAGATGCAGTCCGAGATCTGAGATCGGAGCAGAGATAATGATGCCGATCGAAAGTGGGGGGGTTGGCTCCGGCGTGGCTGTCGGTGGGGAGGCCACCAGCACTGCTCAGCCACCACCCCTGCGTCCACTCTCATCAACAGCTGCGGGCACAGTGGAATGCCGTACAAATCTGTTTGTATCAAAGCATGCGGGCGCCCTGAACCGTGAAAACAACACGATTACACCGCCCCGCAGGCCTGACCCAGGAGGCCGTCGACGCGATGCAGCCCGCCATCAGCAGCCTGCCCGCCTGGGCCTCCCGCAGCGCCCACAGCCGCAGCCCCTCCTGCGCCGCCGCCGCCGCCGCCTCGCCCGGCCCGGACTCCCCCGCCCGCGCGCCCGCCGCTGCCGCCGCCGCGGCCGCCGCTGCCTACGCGGCGCCCCCCCTTATCTCATTCGACAACGATGGCGACTACTCAGAGGCAGCCGCGTCCCCCGCCAGCCTTTACAGCAGCCCCAGCCCCGGCAAGGCGGCCGCGCCCGCCGCGCACGGGCAGGCGCCGGCCGGCCCCCTCAGCCTGCTGGGCGTGGCCGCCCATGCGGCGCCCGCCGGCGGGGCCGCGGCGGCCGAGTTTTTTGAGGGGTCGTTCGCTGCGTTGGAGGCCGGTGGTGCCCCGGCATCCGCGGCGGAGCAGCGGGATGAGGCGGCAGGCGCCGGGGTGGCCCTGGGCCCGGGCGTCGCCGGGGCCGCTGCCGCAGAGGTGGCACAGAGGCCGGACGGGCGCGGCGGGGCGGGGGAGGGCGTGGACGGCTGGGGCGCGGCATCCCTGGTGGCAGGCAGCTGGGGCGGCTCCGTGGACGGGGATGGCCCGGCGGCGGCCACCGCCAGGGAGGACTGGGAGTAGCTGCGTCGGCGGCGCCCCCCGCTGGAGGAGCCGCAGTGATTATTGCACCCCCTTGATGAGGGGGGCTGCATTTGTCGCATCATGAGGCCATCAGGGGGTGGCGCCACCTGGCGCGCGCCCTGGCTCTCCACGAGATTAAGAAAGGGGGGCTGCATTTTGAAGGGCCCCCCCCCGGAAAACTTGCATGGGCCTGCAGTTTCAGTGCCCTGAGAGCGACCGCATAACAGGGCAGCGCCCAAAGCAACCGCACTGCCCGGTCAAGGGGGTTGAGCCCACAGGCCGCAGCGCCAGGCTTCGCTGGCCGGCAGCGGCCCAAACAGCGCTGCCGGCGGCGGCCGGCGCATGCGACATGACTATGCTGCTGGGCCGGGCGGGGCCAAGGCCCGCCATCACACAAACTCCTGCATCACCGCACCACCGCCGCGCCACAGTGCCGCGGGGCGCGAGCCTCGACATCACGTCGCGACCCCGGTCCTGCCGCGGTCAAGACGCACACCGCCCCCACCGCCGCCAGCTCGCGGCGGCGTTTCATTCACCGGGCGCGCGCACGCGCGGCGCTCCGGCGGCCTGCAACCACAGCGCACGAGCGACCTGCATCCAAACCTTTGCTTTCGCCGCAGCCGGGTCGGCGGCTTGCGTGAGAGCCGTCTGTGGGGGTTGGCCCACATGATGCCAGGCAGCGCCGCTGCCCATATATCCAGGCACCGTTGCTTCGTAATTTGCGCCATGTTTGTCTTGGCGATGACCGCGAGTGTAATCGGCACCGTACGCGCCCTCCAGCTGGGAAAGTTAGAGGGACGGCCACACGAACCAGGCGCACACGAGCGGTGAGCGAAATGAAGGCTCGGCCGCTATGGTGTGCCTGTGAGGTTGGTACGCGTGGGTAGGTCGTTTAGGGGGATGGGGGGCAGAGCGAGGTAAGGATGGCCGGGAAACACTCTTGCAGACTGGAATTAGGGATCTGGATGATGCTCTGCATTTCCCCGGGTTGCTGCCGCTCTCTTTTCCCGTCCGTGACTGCACAGCTAGATTCACCCTTTGCGCCACCCCTGCATTTGCGCTTTCACAAAAACACCATCATGTGAAAATCCGCACACCTCGTCATATCTATAGCCTCGTACACAGCCCACTGCACATACATCAGTGGTATGGTGGCGACGGTGGCGGTGCAGGCAGCTGCTGATGCAGCGGCTGCGTCTTGAGGTTGACTCATCACCACACCCATTGCTGATAGGGTGGGATGCGATTGCACCTTCCAAAGAAAAGTTCTTTTCTGAAATTACTGTTTCTTCCCGTGATAGCGTACAACAGATCACCAAATAGCCAAACATGAAGCGCCGAGCACTTGTAGAAGCGAAAAAGCCAGTAGATGATGATGTTGTAGATGAACAAGAGGAAAATCCGGGCGAAGATCCGCAGGACAAGCCCAGCATCAGCGGCAGCGATGGCGACGGCAGTGACAGCAGCGGCGGCAGCGGCACGAGCGGCAGCACAGACGGCGAGGACTCTGACGGATCCTCGGCGCCAGAGGTGTCTGATGAAGATGAGGAGGACCCAGACGATGAGGATGGGGAGGCATATGATAAGATTGACGTGGACTTCCAATTCTTTGACCCAAAGGTCGGGCGGGTGATGTCCAGCCCGGGCTTGTGACTCGCGACGGCCGGCCGCGGCGCTTGACGGCGCTGCAAGCACAAGCAAGCGCTGCGCGCATCATGCAGCAGCCATGCCTCACTCATTCAGTCGTGCGCTGCATAACCTAGCGCTGCGATGAGTCAAATCGCACCCCAGCCAGCGCAGCCATCGCTTGATCCGCCCCGCCCGACTTTCGACTGGCCCTGCCCGGCGTGGGCCCTGCCTCTGCGGCCCAACCCCCAGGAAATCGACTTCCACGGCCTCAAGGCGCTGCTGCACACCTACCTTGACGGGGAGCAGTACGACGGCTCGGGGCTGGCGGATACCATAATTGCGCAGGTCCGGGCCGGGGTGGGGGGCTGCACGGCCGCACGCGGCCGGCCTGCGTGCGGAGCGGGGGCGTGCTTTTTGTACTGCCGGCACCCCAGCCCGCGAGCAGCAGCCGGCGCCACCGTTCCCCGGGCAGAGGGGCAGGGATTGCCCCCGGGCCGGGCTGGCTGCTGTCAGCACAAACAAGCACCCGGTGTCGCGGGGCCCACCAACAGGCTCCCTTGGTCTGTGCCCGACGCTGTCCGCTTGCCTAACGTTGTGTCGCTCGCGCGCCACCCCATGCGCCCCGTGAAGAGCACCGTGGGCACGGTCGTGAAGAGCGGGGAGGACGACGACCCGATAGCGGTGATGACGGCGCTCAGCACGCGGCGCTACGCGGGGCGCCCCTTTATGGGGCAGGTCAGGGACTACGTGCTGCGCAAGTGCGGCGACGAGGAGCTGCGGCGGCGGTTTCAGGAGGTGCGCCTTGCGGGGACGGGGAGGACCCGCATGCCATCTGAGGGCCCTCGGAGGACTGAGGCCGACCAGAGGACGTTTCTACAAGGGGCTCTCGTGCCTGTCGCGCTTCCACGGCGGCCGCCCGTGTAGCAGCAGAGCGCCGCCGGCATGTGCGCCGCTTGACCCCTGGACCGTGTGCGCACACACGCGCGCAGGCGTGGGCTGCGGAGGGCACGGCGCTGCTGATCAACGAGCGGCTGATCAACTCGCCGCCCCAGCTGGCGCCGCCGCTGGTTCAGGCCCTTTTTGATGAGATCCAGTGGGCCACAGAGGACGAGCCCACGCAGGTGTGTGAGTGCGAGGGAGGGACGGTGTGACAGTTCATTTGTGTGGACATGTGTGAATGTGTGTGTGTAAATGCGTATGCGTGCGTGTGTGAATGTGCAAGTGCGTCGGAGCGCGTGTGTATGCGTGTTTGTGCAGTGCGTGTGTGTAAGCGCACGCGCACATGCACGCTCAAACACACACGCACACCCACAAACTCACACACACAGATACACACATAAACACACGCACACACACACGCACACACTGCCTGCACATGCGCAGGAGCTGCGTGACACGTTCAAGCTGCAGCGGTACCTCCTGGTGACCAGGGTTTACACGGACCCCGCAGAGCAGCAGCAGCAGCAGGAGCAGCAGCAGGACGGCAGCGGCGCGGGCCCTAGCAGTAGCAAGCAGCGGGGGAAGAAGAAACAGAAGACGGTGAGCACCAGGGGGGGCTGGGCATGCCGCGAGCTCGCCTCGGCCCTCCTGGCAACGGCCTGCCCCCACGTCCTTTTGCAGCCTTCTGCGCCTGGGTTGCCCTGCGCACGCTTCTCGCCTCCCTCACCCCCCCCCCACACACACAAACTCAAATCCACACACACAAAAACTCAAATCCACACACACACAGACACATGTCCACACACGTGCACATAAATACTCACATCTGCTTGTACACACGCACATACATGCACACACATTTATACGCACACACATGCACATCAGCACACATGCGTTCACCCCCTTCCCCCCCCATCACGCACCCCCCAGGCCTCCAAGCCGCCCGGTGGCATCCCCCTGGTGATCTACGTGCGCCCCGAGGACGAGTTCCTTCACAAGCGCGCCGCGGCAAGCTTCACCTGGCCCATAGAGGGCCGCGCCGTCCCCAAGGACGAGCTGCGGCCGATGCGGCTCGCGATGCTCGTCGACGCGCGCGCGGCGGCCGAGGCGCGGCGGGAGCTGGACCGGGTGATCGGCAACGCCGCGGGGATGGCGCCGCCGCAGCTGCCGGCGCCGGCAGCGGGGAAGGGCAAGCGCGGCGGCAAGCAGGGCGGGAAGAAGTAGTCGCGGCTGGGGCTGGCCGGGGCGGCGGTGTGCGGAATTGTCTCGGGGCTTGATGGGCCTCGCGTATTGTCCCTCGCATCCCTGGGACGGCTATGCCGTGTAAACGTCGCGGAAACGTCGCGGAATGTCGAGCTCAGGACGAAGCTTCGCCCGTACGTCGTATCTCAGAGCGAGCGATGCTGCAACGGGTCGGGAGCCTGGCCGAGCGTTGGCAACCGTTAACCCCCACCCCCTGCACACATGTACACGGTCACACGCGCACACACACACACACACACACACACACACACACACACACACACACACACACAACAAAGTGTCACACACAAACACACACACATACACACGCGCGCGAACACCCCCACACACGGACACACACATACACAAAAGCATGCACACACAGACACGCGCACATACACACCACACACCTGCTGCGATACTCCAAAACCTAAATTGCATGCCTTGACCCAGGCAGCACCGGTGTGCTGATGCTTTAATGCAGGAATCTTACAGGTCTAATGCATCAGCGCACAGGCCGTGAAAACGCTATGTACCCGCACGCCCCCCAGAAAGGAAGGTACAACCCCCACCACACAGCATACGCCATGCCGCTGCTCTCAAACAGCAACCAGCCCAGCTCCCCCGCCCGCAGCAGCGAGGCGGGCGGGTGCCCAGCTGCCGCGAACGCCGCCGACAGCAACGCCGGCGGGCTCGCCAGGCACCAGACCGCCGCCGTCGCCGCCGCGGCCCGCGGCCCGCCGGAGCTGCTGACAGGGCTGCACGCCAGCGCCAAGGGGGCCAGCACGGCAGCTGTGAACAAGGCGAGTGCCCAGTTGACGCAGGCGAGGGCCGCCAGCGCCGCCGCCGCCGCGCTGAGCTGGACAACGGCCAGCTTGCGCCGCCACGACGCGCGGCCCTGCTCGGCGCAACGCCCTCTCGAGCCGTCCGCTGCCGCCGCTCGTGCTGTTCCTTTTGATTCCGCTGCTCCCTTTTGCTGATCTCGAGTGGCGCCGCCCCGGCTGATGCTGCTGCTGCTGCTGCTGCTGCTGCTGCTACTGCTGCGGCCGAAGATCGATTGCACCACCTCCCCGGCTCCAAGCACGGCAAGGAGCGCCGCGCCCGCCAACGC